TTTGAAATAAAATGAGAGATGGTGGAATCACAAGAGTCACAACGGAAACTTCTACAGAGTAAAAATCCTAAAATGCCTTCGCAGATAATCGACACGAATTCACAAAAAATGCCTCATCATTACCGCGAAGACAGGCACAAACGAAGTTTTAACTCTGTTTTGAAAGAGTTCCTCAAAGTTGACAGCCCCTCAATGTCGCCCTCTATTTCCATTATTCTTGTGGCTTCCACTTTAAGGTCACTGAGGTTAAAAGACTTTTATCTACAGGAAAAAAATCCATCAGTTCCTGTCAAATTATTTTCGTTGAACGAAACAGACCTTGTTTTCTCCTATGTAGAGGTCTCAGCTCAATATCTTAGAGGAATTAAGCGTTTTATTGTTCGGGATAAAACGCCATTGCAACTCAGAGTTTCCCCCGCTGAGTTTCCCGCTGAGACACATGAAAATCCGTTTACATCAGTTAAACCGATAACTTCTATTGTCCAACTGGGTGCTGTAAGGTCTACAGCTAAGTCACCAGTGGCTTGGCGTCAGAACGTTGAGACTCGAAAATTGAATCAGACTCCTACCCAAAAGATAGGTAGTACAGTTCTATTTAGGGGTACGACGCCTTCTCTTAGATCTAACAAGTCTGTTCTGCCCAGCACGTCTACAAACCCCGCAGCTCCAATTATATCCCCGAATAATTCTCTGTCCTGCGTACCGGTTACTTATCAAAGCCCTACTATATATCCAGCAAATAATTCAAACATGAAATGCCCTAAATCATTTATGCCCCAACCTAGTTCAGGCTTCCCACCACTTAAGGCCAATTGCTCTCAGGTACGTCAACCTATCTCCTTTGACTTCCAACCTAGACCTGGTTTCCCACCATTTCATTCTTATAGCGGCCTACCCTCACCCACTAGCCCCTACTTTCCTTCTAGCCTCCCTCCTCCTCCCCTTCCTCCACTATTTAACTACCAACAAGTCTATCCATGTTCTAACTCCCCTAGCATTTCAATGTTTGAAAACTATATCCCCACATCCTTTAGATCTCATACTCAGCCTTCTCTTGCTGACTCCCCGTACGTCAATAACTCTAGATTAACTGGTACTTATTTTCCAAGTGTCATAAATTCACATATTACATATCCGCCTCCAAATTTTTTTAAATACCGTCAAAAATAGCATTGCCGTTCGAAACACATTAGATATTATATTATTGAATGCCAGGTCAGTTATAAACAAGATGGCCCAAATCAGAGCCGTTGCTCTGGAAATGACGCCTGATATTATATGTGTAACAGAATCGTGGACCCATTCTCTAATTCCTGACTCTGCCCTTCTCATAGATGACTTCGATTTTTGCCGCCAAGACCGCACGACTAGGCGCGGGGGTGGTTGTCTTCTTTATCTTAAATCCTACCTAAAGCACTCTCCCTATTACTTGGATGTTTCCTCATTCACGGGAAACTTCTGCTTTGCATCTGTTATTCTCTCGCCGCAAAGAAAGGCAATTATTGGCTGTATCTACAATCCCCCCAATTCTTTAGCCAGTGATGATTCTCAACTTTGTGAAATCTTTAAATTGATTTCGGAAGCTGCTTTCGATGTTAAAATAATCACTAAGGATTTTAACCTCCCCGAAATAGACTGGGTTTCCAATAGCTGCCCACCCAGATTCCAGTCCTTTCAAGATATTGTCAATTTTTCTAATTGGTCCCAACTTGTGCGCTCTCCAACAAGAGATAATCACATTTTAGAGCTAATCTTTACCAATGACATTGCTCCTCTTTCTGTTGCTTTAAAAAAGCACCTCTTTGACAGTGACCACGTATTAATTCATTGTTGCCTACCGCTTGCCTTTTCAAAAAAGACAAGCGCCGTTCGGACTTACATGAACTACGACTGCGTAGATAGCGACGTAATAAATAACTATATGAGATCCTTGGATTGGTGTGGCTTCCGCACTTGTAGCGATGTAACCATTCTTCGTGATGTCATGTCCAATGTTTCCAAGGACATTCTAGAGTTTGTGCCGCGTAGATATCTCAAGCCTAATCCTTCAGATTCCCTTGTTCCTCATTTTCTTCAGAACAGACTAAAAAAGTTGAGGCGACAACTGCGTGACCCATCCACTAGTTCCTTATCTGTTCATCTTAGAATCACAGAGATATTTGAGATGGCCTCAAGGATGCGCCTAGCGCGCGACAGGCAAAGAGAATCAATTGCTCTCAGTGGTTCGAACCCCGGCAAATCCGTCGCTAACATCTTCCGTCATCGGTCCTCCTCTAAGCGTGGTCACGAACTTCCACCCCTGCTAAATGATAACAAAGTCTTCCTCACCGATGACACTGAAAAGGCGGAGTTGTTTAGTGCTTTCTTTGCAAAACACCTTGCTACCGAGTCCGATCCGGTCCCTTTCTTTCGATCACTTTCAGATAGGACACTTAGTACAATTGATGTCTCCTCAGATCTCATTAAGAAACACATAAGCCGTTTGAAATACTCCCCCTGCTCAGGAACGGACGGGATTCCGAATTCGATTATTAAACAAGCGTCCGACTTTCCCATATTGCTCAGTCATTTATTCTCGGTTTATATTTCAAAAGGATTCTTTCCAGAAACATGGAAAACGTCAATTATCTGTCCCGTTTTCAAGTCAGGATCTCGGTCCGATGTTAATAACTATCGGGGCGTGCACAAAACGCCGTCTCTAGCAAAACTTCTTGAAAGGATTATTTTCGATGAAATTCTTGACTTCTGTCTAGCTAATCGGCTCCTGAGCTCTAGTCAGCATGGGTTTTTACCTGAACGATCCTGCGAAACATGCCACTTGGCTTTTCTTAATCGAATCACTTCTCTTCGTAATGAGCGGCAGTCAGTGGTAGTTATTTACTTTGATCTTAGCAAAGCCTTTGACAAGGTGCCCCATAGACGTCTTTTAGTAAAATTGGAAGCTCTCGGCATCCGGCCGCCTCTACTCGACTTCATCAGGTCCTATCTGTCCAACCGATACCAGAAAGTCATGGTCGGTAATAGCTACTCGACACCCCACTCGATCACGAGTGGCGTACTTCAAGGCACGGTCCTGGGTCCGCTACTCTTCCTTCTGTACATCAATGATATTTCGACTGAACTCGGAAATTCGCAAACTTTTACTTATGCCGATGACCTCAAGTGTGTTTACTCATACTCTAAGGGCACCGCAAATGTTTGTGTTGAAAAAATTAATGCCGATTTACTACGCTTAAGCAGATGGGGTTCGACATGGCAGATGGAGTTTTCATCATCCAAGTGTAGTTTCATGTCTTTTGGTCCTACCAAACTTCCTGGTCCCATAATTTTTCAGAATAACCCACTCTCAGAATGCCTCACCATAAAGGACCTAGGTCTAAGTTATACAAATAAGCTTACCTTATCACCTCATGCAGATAGAATCTCTGCCAAAGCCGCGCAGATATGTGGATTCATATCGCATAACTTTTTCGACGGGTGCCAAATAAGCGGCCGCAGGTCTTCCATCACGGCTACCTTACGAACTACTGTTTGCTCAGTAGGTGTGCTTGTGGTATTTTTTTGCCGCGGCGGCAAAAAAAATACCACAAGCACACCTACTGAACAAACAGTAGTTCTTAAGGTAGCCGTGATGGAAGACCTGCAGCCTCCACGGTCAGAAAAAACCCTTAAACACACCTACCGAACAGGCTTCGTAGGGTTTACGTGGATTTCCCATCCTCTATTACCTAAAATTCATGTCCAGTATACAATGCCACTTTTATACCCTTACGCACACAAACTTCTCCTTTCCTAAACCACCTCTGGGCAGTTCGCATGCGCGGCAGTTGCGCTGATAACTGCGGGGTTGTCGGTTTCGTGGTTTACGTGCAGTTTCCCTTCATCATCTTTCGGTTTCAAGTCATGGTCCACTTGCCTCCCCTCCCACGCATTCCGGAGTCCATCTAATTGAGGTGCCAACATTCCCCTTTCGTCCGCCAGACTACCACTTACGTCAGCTGTTTACTAACGTTTTCAGTCCCGCATCCACTTCCGGGCGTGTACATGAACCTCCGGCACTCCCTTCCCATATTCTGCAACACCCACCCCCCCCCCACACCCACCGGCTTACAGCCTACGCCGTCCAAACGTAAGACCTCCACTTGGGGCAGCTGCTACCAAAGGCTTCAGGCTCTTAGACCACTGCGGTATTTGCATACACCCCTACCGCTCCCTCACCGCTTAGCCCACGCCTTCCTCCCTCCCCCCTCCCAAAGACTTGTCACCTACGCCGTCCCAACATAAATCCCGGCAGTCCCTCTCCCCTTTAGGCAAGCTTACCGCATTCGACAATTCCCTCACCGACTGTTCCCACTTCCGCCTGTTTCACAGTCTACTGTTTCCCCCCTACCGGCTTTGTCAGCTGACCTGATATGCCCTTCACAGCGGGTGGTTCACGTTGCCAGTTACCAGCTACACTGATTCCTACTTACCGTCTACCATGGCCGACTGCGGCCTAAGACAGTCTCTTCGCACCTCCCTGTTCCCGCTCTAAAGGCCTTCCGTAATCACTCACTTGCTGTCCCATAAGGGTTTATCAACGAGGCTTGGTGGACGTCATTGCATTATTCTACGTCGGTAAACATGTTCACGTACCCAGCCTCCAGGGTGGTCGATCAGCAGCAATCCTTACCGTGCGATGATGGCTCCGTTACCACTGCTAGAGATACCCGCCCATCCCACAGACAACGTCCGTTCAACTCTTCCATTAGTGATCCATAGGCACCTATCAGCTAACGCAGACCTCTGGTTGAACTTTGCTCAACTGCGTATCACACCTTCTCTCATTCCGGAGGCTTAGCGGCACTGTAAGAAGGCACAAAGTCATAACAAAACGCAACATTTACTCCGAATTAGGAAAAGGAACAATACACTAGACATACTCCGTAGTACGGAAAATCGACCCCGACTGCCTTGGGCAGCCGGCTTGACACATCAGTAACATTCAACAGTTAGGTGTACTACAAAAGGGTATGCGTCGATGATTGGCTCTCCTCATTAGACAGCTCCCTCTTTGCCCGGCCGGTAACGGCCACAGGCACTGTAGGTAGGCATGGAGAGTAAGTGGACGAAGTACAGAGTCTTACCTTCCAGTCTTCCGTCTGCGCGTTCGTTGGTTAGCTTCTCCAATCGTCGATGGTTGGCTCTCCTCATTCGACCGCTCCCTCTTTGACCGGCCGGTAACAGCCACAGGCACTGTAGGTAGGCATGGAGAGTAAGTGGACGAAGTACACAGTCATACCTTCCAGTCTTCCGTCTGCGCGTTCGTTGGTTAGCTTCTCCAATCGTCGATGGTTGGCTCTCCTCAATCGACAGCTCCCTCTTTGACCGGCCGGTAACAGCCACAGGCACTGCAGGTAGGCATGGAGAGTAAGTGGACGAAGTACAGAGTCTTACCTTCCAGTCTTCCGTCTGCGCGTTCGTTGGTTAGCTTCTCCAATCGTCGATGGTTGGCTCTCCTCAATCGACAGCTCCCTCTTTGACCGGCCGGTAACAGCCACAGGCACTGTAGGTAGGCATGGAGAGTAAGTGGACGAAGTACACAGTCATACCTTCCAGTCTTCCGTCTGCCCGCTCGTTGGTTAGCTTATACAATCGGCGTTTGTAGGCTCTCCTCAATCGCCAGCTTTCCCATCGCCAGTAGGTAACGGCTGCATCCCCAGTAGGTAGGCTTGACGCCGTATTTTACGCCTACTAACAGGAGTAAACATAACTGTCAGTAAAAGGAGACACAAGGGAACACAAAGACAAAGACAGTTAGGGTAGGCAATGTCAGCGTAGAGCGAGACACGGTGTGTGCTGTGCAGCGTGAGAGCAAAAAGTGGCGCCGGCAAGAGCCAGAGGACTATCGGGCACCGAAGCTAATCGATAATCAAGTGCAACTATGCGCGGCCGCTTGCGCCCTTCGCGACGCCGGCGCAGCCGACCCGGGAACCAATCCAAACTGCCAGCAGGCTAAAGACCCACTACCCCCCCACCCCCCCTCCCCCCCCGAGTACACCGGCTCGCGGCGAGCTCGCTTGCTATTAGGGTTTCCTTTTAATCTGCTCCAGTAGGCCTCTATGGCGTTCGTATGCCGTCCCGTTGTGGGATTCAGGAAGCCCCTACGGTGGTTGACAGTGCAGTGCTTATAACCTACGGACGGCAGGCGGGTGTAACCCTTCCACTCATCGGTTACGATAACACTACCAGCAGCCACCCACTTTCTTATGACGAGCCTCAGGGCCTCCCAGCTGCGGTTGTTAATCTTCTCAAATAGGGCTTTCCGCCTGCGTGTATCGTACATACCTACGACCCACAACTGCCGCCGCGGTCGTCCCCTGTTATATTTGCGGCGACTTATGAGCGTCTCGTCTATCTGTACTTCCACGCCTGGTCCCCCAATTTCGGTTACGGCGGATAAATTTAAACTTAAAAGGGTTACGTAGGCCTACAAACTGCTCTCACCATGGATACTTACAAATGCCGTAAAACAGCGACCGCCAAGTACGGGAGTTTGCCGACTTGCTGTAGGTTGGTGCGGTGGTGTTGGAGTACGTCTAGGTATCCTAAACATTGTTCGCGTTATGCGTATTAAACGGTGCATGCCGTGGAGGTCACCGATATAACAAATAGAGAGGGGTTGAGGAGGGGGTCAGTAAGGGGCTGGGAAGTGACGCAATTGTCATAAGCGGTTTATTCAAATACTCCTACCCAACCGCAGTACGCCGCTGTCCCCTCACGTCCCCCTTGCGCATCGTCCGTTTCCCGTCCACTTAATGCACACCACTTTCAAGTGCGGCGCCAACGATCCCATTGGTTAGCCGCTTGGCGGTTCAGGTTTACTCGCCCCGGCCGCTAATCACATCACGTCCCCGGCCAGCCCTCCTTCGATTGGTCATTGCCTACGGTTTTCCCTATTTGCGCGCCATCCTGCGGTATTTTGACTTCATTAAAACAAATATTTATTTTTCTGCGATTTTCAACATTTTTCGGCATCCAGCTGTCAATCCAGTGCCCTTTGCCGTTTACCCCACCCGTTCTTCCCCTCAAAACCGCCATCCCGTTGTACCCGACCCACCTAGAGAAGATTTCTCACCGTGGCCGCCTGTTGGGCTTCGGCCATTTTTTCCTTCCGGAAATGAAGCTAAGACTTTATCAAATGTTTGTTCTTCCAGTCCTCGAATATTGCTGTCCTTTCTTCGGTTTAATGAACGCCTGCGACCGTAATAAAATCGAAAATGTTCAGAGGGTTTTTACCCGGAAACTGTTCTCTCAAGTCGCATCCGGTACTTGTTATACTCAGAGATGTCAGCTGGCGAACATTAAGTTTTTGTGGGTTAGAAGACTCGAAGCTGGCCTTTGCTTACTTTTTCGCATTAACTCTAGCTCCAGTCTTCCGCTCATTGGCACTCTCACTCCGAGAGATCGGTCTTATGCCACGCGCAACTCCTGCATGGTGATTCCGCCGCCTATTTGTACTACATCTAAGCGCTCCCTCTTCTTTGCTTCCAAATATACCTTCCTTTGGAATAATCTTCCGCCTGAAATTAGATTATCGCCTAAGTTACTGGTATTCAAGTCGAAATTGCGCAAACATCTTACACCGGAAAGCATAAAGGCACTGTTAACGGTCTCATTTCCGAAAACTCAGATTCTTGACTTCGAGAAGGGTCCTCCTGGGATTTAGTGGTAGATTAAGTGGTAACTCTTAATTATATCATTAGAAACCCCTGTTTTGCCTTGGTTTCTTAATCCACTGCTATCACGCCTTCCCCATAGCGACAATTTTCGTGGTTTATGATGTCACCTCCCGCATTCCGACCTCATGCGGTCTGTCGGCGCTCACGGATGAACCCTCAGTTTCACTGTCTACTAGTAGTTCGGTCGTACCTCCCTTCCCCACTGCTCGGCTGAGCTGGAAGCCTGCTGTGGTCGATCGCATCTGGGTTCCTTTCGTCTGGCCTCTTTGATGCGGCGTATCAATCCGACCCAGACGATCTCAATTGTGAATCCCGTATACAATGCCATATGCAAGCCAGTCCTATCTGACCCACATTCGTGCCCCTCAAGGCTGAGATTTATTGCTACCCTGTCGATGACCGATAACATTCCGTTATATACCACCACCTACAGGCCAGTCCTGCTCGCTTTTTTCTGTCGTTATTTTTATTAAGGGTTTTTTTCTCCTGTAAAATTAATCCAATCATTTTTAACTTTTTTAAGGAGTTTTTTTTCACCCTTCAATTATCATGTTTCTCAATGAACTAATAATTCAGAAACTATGAATTGCATTTTGTAAAGATTCGGCCTGCCTCGTCTAAAACTCGCATGTAAATTTATTTTAACTTGCTTTGATGGGACCCCGACGGGTCTTTAATAAAAATTATCTATCTATCTGAGTTGGTGTACTTCCTCATCCATGGTGAAGCTGCTGGCATTCCATACTCTAGATGAGGTCTTACAAAGACACCAAAGAGTCTTTCGAAAAGTTCGGGAGGAAATATTTTAAATGCACGTCTGATCCAGTGTAGGGTACTAGTTGCCTTCTGGACCATCTTTCTACAGTGTTCTGATGGCGATATATTTGTGGTCGTCTATACACCCAGATCTCTGTGTCTTTCCTCAGTTTCGAACCTCGTCCCCTCAATATAGTACTGGTGTTTGGGAGAGGCATTGCGGCCGGTTTTCTGGTGCAAAACCACGCATTTGGAGACGTTAAACTTCAAAAGCCATCTGTTCGACCAAGCACACAGTTTGTTGATGTTCGACTGCAACTTCTCTGCGTCATCATCACACTTGACTTCACTCCATATTTTAATGTCGTCCGCGAACATGAGAGCCTCGCAATTCACTTCGCTGATGCAGTCATTAACATAAATCAGGAAGAGTACTGGGCCTAAGACAAAACCCTGCGGGACACCACTTTCCACCTTTACCCATTCCGAGGCAGAATTACTAACGACGACTCTTTGTAGTCTGGAGGACAGAAAACTCCTGATCCACTTAAACATTCTTCCTTGAATTCCTACATCCCAGATCTTTTGCAAAAGAAGCCTGTGTGGGACACTGTCAAAGACCTTCTTGAAGTCAAAAAATATGACATCTACGGGAAAACCCTTATCGGTAGCTGTGTCCATTTCTCGTGCGAGTAAAGAACGCTCGTTAGGCAGGAGCGCCCTGGACGAAAGCCAGGTTGGGCATCACACAATATTTTGTTCTGTTCCAGGTATTTCATCAAGTGTCTTTTGATAATGCGTTCCATTATTTTGCACGCGATGCAAGTAAGACTGACAGGACGATAATTTCCGCAGTCAAGTCTTGAGCCTCCTTTATGGATCGGAGTAATGAGTGCGCACTTCGATTCTTCCGGGAGCTCGCCGTCTTCAAACGACTTTTGAAATATTGCGGATAAGGGTTTGCACAGTTCATTAGCAAGTTCGCGAAGTGCTAGGGCGGGAATTCTATCTGGGCCAGGCGATTTGGCAGGTTTCAGCCGGAGTAGCTCGGCCCTAACTATGATAGATAAAAAGAGTGGTTCCTCGGTTAAGGAGGGTAGGGAGGGGATAGGACGGGGAAGAGTAATGGGAGGAGAGGTTGCTTGACGAATGGATGGATGGGCAAATATAGAACTAGGTTCTCGGGTGAAGACGGACTGAAAGAAGTCGGAAAGGAGGGACGCTTTAACCTGGTCATCAATCTCCACTTTTCCATTTGCAGACCTAAGGGCAGGGATCAGCTCCTGAGACCTTTTAGTACTTCGTAATTAACCATATAGAATTTTCGGATGCTCCAACGAAGTTCGGAGTGTGTTCAGTTCAAACTTCTTTCGCAGCTTTGAGGCCTCACTTTTACAGACGTTTCGTTGCCGCTTATATTCCTGTAAGTGTTCCTCGGGGCCAGTTAGTCTGTAACGCCTCCACAGACGATTCCTTTTCCTGAAAGAGGTCTTTAAGTCCGTGTTTATCCATTTTGGGCGGTTAGTGATTGTCTTTCTTCTGAGAGGACAATTGGAATAAACAATCTCTTTCAGTAAGGAACTGAAAGTATTCCAGTTATCGTTTGCTCGACCATGCAGTTCAGTCTCCCATGATATAGCTGCCGCTTTCCTCCTCATGAGAGAATAGTATCCTTTCCAAATGTTCCTCTCCCACCTCTCGAGTTGGACGGGTTTGGAAAACAGTGAGTACTCGAAGAAGAGCGTGATGTGGTCGCTTGACCCTAATGGCTGTCGGTCCTGCAGGTCTAACACATTTTCCTCCTCTCGGGTAAAAATAAAATCAAGGCAGTTCGACTGCTGTCCTTCCCTGATCCGTGCTCCAAGCAATGAAGTCTGATAGATTTATTGAAAGAATATACACATTTGAGATCATTGGCATAAATAAATGACCGAGAATATTTTACTTCCGCCGAGATATCATTTATGTACATCAGGAACAAAAGAGGAACTAAAACGGTGCCTTGTATGACACCACTTACAGCAGGGCTTCCTCTGGAAAGTGCAGATCCCACCACATTTTTTTTCGCGATTAGACAGATATGACATGATAAAGTCCATTAGGGGACTGCGAATTTCCAGAGATTCTAATTTAACAAAGAGCCTTTTATGTGTCACTTTATCAAAGGCTTTACTAAGATCAAAATTAATAACGACAACAGATAGATGATCATTACGAAGAGAAGTAAATAGATTGAGAAACGCCAAATGGCATTTTTCACAAGAGCGATCTGGTAAAAAACCATGCTGGGAAGGGCTAATAACTTGATTGGGTAAGCAAAAATCGGTTATTTTCGGAGCGTTAATTTTTTCAAAGGTTTTAGCAAGGGAGGGCGTTTTGTGGACACCTCGATAGTTCTGTACGTCAGAACGACAGCCAGACTTAAATACTGGAATAATTATAGAAGTTTTCCAATAGTCAGGGAAGAAGCCATTTACAAGAAATACTGAAAAGAGTTTGCTAAGCAGAGGAGGCAAATCTCCTAGCTGTTTTATAGGAGAGTTTGGGATATTGCGCGTACCTACTGAGTGAGAGTTAGGAAGCTGGTTCAAATTGATGGCCGCAGGACTGGTGACGATAAGCACATGCCAAATATCATCATTTATACAGATACATGACTTTTAAAACTAGGGGGGATGAAGCATGCATCAGGGATTATCACTGCACGTTTTGTGTGGAATGTTTTAGTTAATCTCGCAAACTCCTGTATTGTATGTCAGTAAGTCAGTGTATTTGAGGGAAATAGTCTTGCGCCTTTAAACTCCCTATTTGTACATAAAAAATCGATGAATAGGCAAAATGCGAAGAA